CAAATATCCACACTCTGTCAGAGCCAAAAATCCAAAGGCGGAGGAGGGAGGATGAGGGGGAGGCGGGAGACAGCCAGCAGCGTGTATGTAAAAGCAACACAAAAGAAAAGCATATAGAGTATAGAGAGACCTACCGAATGCACACAAAGAAAATACCCTGTAATGCAAGAGAGAGAGAGAGAGAGAGGGGGCATAACAGGTGTGCCATGATTTATAGCTAGAGCCGATCTAAGACTTGGATAACTCTGAGGTTATTTTGCATATCAGCTTAATATAATATTTTTAAGGGCTTATTCTCATTTGCTGTTGGTCTAAACCTGATTATATATATTAAGCAACAGGATTTCAACATGGAGCGCTCGCATTTATGCCCTGGGGCAGCTCATCTGCCAAGGACCTTTAACACATTAAATGTTATCCCAAATGATTTCAATTGTTTTGCAACAAAATGCTGCAAAGAGCTGATGAGGCCGTTTCGATTGAGTGCAGTGTGAGTGAGAGGGAGTGGAAGAGAGAGAGAGAGAGGGAGAGACAGTGGCAGGGCTTGGTAAACCAAATGCCCGTTGCTTGTTAGCCTTGTTTGCCTGTTTCCTGTGTGTGTGTGTGTGTGTGTGTGTTTGTGTGGGCTGGTCCAACATGCTGAGAGCCGCACAATTAATTTGCGGCTTGCTTACCAAATTCAGTTACGTGTTATTTTTGTACTTTTCTCTTTGCCCTTTTTACTTGTCTTTGTCATGTTGTGTTTGCTCTTTCTCTGGCACTCTCTGAATTATAAATAAATCTGTGCATTCGACTCCATGGAATTGCAGATGGCAATGACGTCACACACACATCTCATTTATCTACTTTTTTGCCTACTTATTGGCATGTCAGTTGTGTAATGCTTGTTGAACCACCTGTGCTTCTCTTCTCACCTTGGCCCGACTGCACCTAATTGATTAAAGGCCAAGCGAATGGCCCATTATGAGCAGCCCCGGCGCAGATGTTGGCCCAGCTAATTAGACAGCAAACTTTCTGCTTAATTAATTTTGTCATTAGACTCGGAGAGATACAGAGAGAGCGAGAGAGAGCGAGAGAGAGAGAGAGGAGGTGTGCAGCAGACAGTAGCCAGCAGATGGCCGATATAAGTAATTGACATTAGTTTGAATAGTTTGCTTTGAAGAAATTGTTGAGAGCACTGGGAAAAGCTGTTGAAGCGCAGGTGTTCAGAAGATGCAAAGAAGATTGAGCAGCTCAGCAGCTGAAGGTATTTAATTATGATCGTATGAATCAGCATTCCTTCTATGAACTAACTAAGTTGTAGTGATAAACGGTAGAGTTGCCAAAACAGCACTCGGTAGGTGCTCTTGTCAATGTATCGTGATATCGATACTATCGAGTATGCGATTAATGGATTTACCAACTCTTGTTTGAATTAAATTTCAGTTGCTTTTTTTATTTAACTTGAAAAGCTTATAGATTTAAAAAGTAAGACAAAAAAAAAAAGACAAAAGTCAGTAGAATCAGATCTGAAGGTCTACGATTTATTTATATTTAAAAGAAAAAGTACTGTGAAATCTAATTTAGGCAAGTTCGTCAATGCTTTCATTGATTTGTGACACGGTATATAATCCTCTTGACCTTTTCTGCAAATATCATTATTATGTGCTCATTTATATTCACCTTATATGTATTATCAAAATAATCTTTGCTGTATTTGTATAGAGCATAAACTATGCAAATGCTTTTTCCGAGTTAATTGAACTAAGCAGCTAAATGGCATTTAGCAGAAGAAGAAATAAAAGATAAGACAAAACAAGAGACCGAGAGAGATAGAGAGACTGAGAGCTAAACTGAATCAAGATTTATGGCAAAATCTGTGGCAAGCCAAGATAAGAGCTTTGTTCTTAATTGAATAATAGGCCTATAAATACACTGTGTTGAATATTTATGCTGGAAATCAATTAAATTTTCCATGCCGTGCATGGATGTTGGCCTGCATTAGGGGTATTCATTTTGATTATGCTTTGGGTGGACCCTACCTTTTTCGCTCTGCTCTGACGTTACCCAAGTTGTCAGGCCATAAATTTGCAGAGACTGGGAGAGAGAGAGAGAGAGGGAGAGCAGCAAGGGCTAGCCGCTAGCCAGTTAATACAAAGACATTTGTCGCCATAATTTGACAGTCACATAAATTCATTAAAATATGCTATGCACAGAGCTAGCCCTGTCTCTGTCTCTCCCTCTCGCTATCTATCTGCCTCTCTGTCTGCTGCTCTTCCTGTCTGTTGGCCAACGTCTCATGAACTTGATGCATGAAAATGTTTTCTTGGCTTTCAAAATAATTTCATTACTTCATCACTCGCATTGTCATAGAGTGTTTATCTATACGTTATATGGCACACATATTTCTCTCTCTCTCTCTCGCTCTTCAGGTCTCTCTTGTGTTCTTTGAATGTTTTTATTATTTTCGTGAAAATATTTTTGCAAACACGTCAAGGCATTGCCCCCTGCCGCCAGGCAACCGCACAGACTAGCGTTTATTTAGTCATTTGGGCTCTTCTTTTCGCACCAGCCTTTTGCTGCGTTCTGGCTCTGGGCCAACGGAATTTGTATCTGTTTCAAATAGTTTTCGTCTTCTCCCCCACCGCCCACCTCCCACCTCCTACCACTCTTAATCTGGTAATTTGTGTGCTGCTTATTTAAACTAAACGCGCTTTGATATTTATTTACGTGTGATTAGCAACAATTGGTTAAAGGTTTTGCGGCTGCTGCATTTTCACATTTAATTTCCTATCTGTATAAATGTCTTATTCCGCATTTTTCCCCTCCCCCCCTCGCTGTTTATTGTTGCTGTTGTCTTTATTTGCCAATTAATTGCCAGCGAGAGCGCTGAGAATTCTTCATGCGCTTGCCGAAAGATATTTTCATCTGCTTAGACCATAAATATTGTTGCCCAGATTTCTTAGCCCTCTTTTAGCTTTTTTTTTTTTTTTTTTGGGATCGGCTGTCTGTCAATTGGTAAATTCATTTTAATGACTGACTGAAGCATTTGAGCGCTTGTTAAGGAATTTTCTACTAATTGCTTTTTCGGCATTTTGGTAAGAGATATCGTGACGGCCTCTTCCATTTCCATAGCAGCAGTCGGATATTTTTCAATTTTGGTTTGAGTAATTAAACGAGTCGATTGATTATCTATCAGCCTGTTTCCGGTTGTTGAGTTGTGTTTGAAATTTTGAAGGCTTCAAGTGATTTTTATGTGAGCTGGGAGGTGGAAAATATGTGGGGACTTACCAGGAATTGATTTATATATGTATATGTATGCTGGGCTTGTGCACCAAATAAGGAATTCCTGCTGTGCTGTCAGTCACAATGTGATTCGCCAGAGTGACAATTTATAGTCGGCTTCTTTTCATCTACTGAAAATCTTGATGACCCTACATCTCTTCCCCTCTCTCTCTCTCTCAGCAACACTTGGGACTACGTTTAGCTATAGCTATCTTTGTCTTAGAGAGTGAGCATTAGGGGATATGCAAGTCAAATGTGAGAAGGCTGTACATCCAACCCACACACCCTCTCAGAAAATGTTTGTTTAGAAAACAGACCCTATATATTATTTGATTAATATTTTTTTATTATTTATTATTTTTTATAAATTCATTATTAATTATTATTTTTTAATTTTTGTTATATTTTATTACATTTTTTATTATATATTAATTTTTTATGAATTCATAAATAAAAACATTAAAAAATAATAAAAAACAAATATTAAAAAATAATAACTAATATATTTTTTAATATTTGTTATTTATTATTTTTTAATGTTTTTATTTATAATTTATTTCCTATTCTTGATTATTTATTATTTAATATTTAATTTTGTATTATTTATTTTTTATTATTTATTTTTCCTTTTTATGATTTATTATTCATAAAAAAATGTATTAATATTTTTTAGTATATATTTTTTGTCTTTATTTATTTATTGTTAATTATATATTATCTCATATAAATAAATTTTGGTATATATTTTCTTAGCAGAGTTTGCCAAGTCCTTTTCCATTTGCTCGCTTCTTCTACAGGCAACATCCCATTCTTATCCCCAATCTTAGCTAAACATATTTAATTTGTTTACCTCTTTTGCTCTGCCTCTTTCTCCAGTCTACTTAAGCCGATTTGCTTTCCTTCGCTTTCTTATTTAAATGCTGCACAAATAGCGATAAGCATTTGCTGTGCTACAAATTAAGCGAGAGTCTGTTGTGCTTCGCTTACTCAAATTAACGGACGCATATAATTGTTTGCCATTTCTCATTATTAATGAGTGAAGCCCCACACCCACACACACACCCACACACACACACGCACACATGCGCGCACATTTAGTGTGCCGTCAGCTGTCCGGCAGAGCTTTAGTTTCTTTTGTTTCTTTGTTTTTACTCATAAGTCTCTCTCGGGACTGGCTGGAGGCCCTGAAGAGCCGAACCACATGCTTAACCCTTTAACAACAATTAAAAATATTACACTTGACCAACAAGAGCAGGTCAGGAACAACAAGGGTATCAGCTGTGTGTGTGTGAGTGTAGTTGTGTAAATGTCTTTCAATGTGTGTGTGTGTGTGTGTGTGTGTACTTTGTGGCCACTCAAGTGGCTGCCTTGGCAGGCAATTTACAGCTGCTGCTGCTGCTGGTCCTGCTCCTGCTCTTGCTGCTTCTCCTGCTGCTGCTGTTGTGGTCAAGGGAAACCGAGAAAACCGAACAAACCGAGCTCAACCACTAGCCAGCATGACAATTAATGTAAAAGCCCATCAAGTGCTTGCTCGAGGCTCCACATGCTGTAGCACTGCTCTCTCTCACCCTCACTCCCTCTCTCTCACTCTTTTCGTCTGGCTAGTTTTGGGACATGTTTGTAAATTAGTTGACTGCACTTGTTACAAGCTTTTACTATATATATATGTGTGTATATTATATACTTTATTCATTTTTCTTCTCTCTCTCTCTCTCTCTCACTCTCTCTATTTATAGAACCAAGAAAAGACAAGACTGATGCACAACAACACGGTGGCAATGGCACATTATCAACACCGAATATTGAGCAGCCAACATGCCAGGGCTCTATGCTGCCGCCACCCGGTGGTGGCGGTGGCGGTGGTGGTGGAGGCGCTGGTGTTGGTGGCGGTGCGGGCGGTGCTGGCATGCACCAGCAGCAATATAACCAACAGAACGATTCCAACAACAAGGCGGAGCGGCCCAATACTCTGGGTGGCAGCAACAAGCTGTCGCGGCGAGGAGTCAACATCTGCTACCACAATGAGCATTGTAAGTGAAACGAACTCAAACTGAACTGTTTCTGTTTCTCTATAATAAACTACTTAAAGCTAGATTAGCAATAGATCTGAGATTAGTTGCGGAAAATTGCAGAAGCAGTGATAAGTGATGGAAGTTGAATTAGCAGTTTGAATCGTAGTCTTGCATAATCAAATGTATATTTGATTCTCTTTGGTATTTCTGCTGCATAAGACTAAGAATAAATTATAAATTATAGTTATACTTAACAGCATCTTAAATCAGTCAAGTTTTGTTAAAGAAATTCCAATAAAACAAGAAATATTTACTCTGCAATAGCATTTCATTGTTGAGTGAAAACTTGAGTTCATTGTGCTTCGATTCATAATCGATAATTGATCAAAATAAATATTTTTATTAATATTTGTAGTGCTCCATACTAGGAGTATTTTCTAAAAAATCGACAAGTTATCGATAATTGCTACTCATAGATATCTTAAAGCTTTTTAAGCTTACTAAGCAAAAAATGTTGATGGAGTATTTTGTGAATATTGCAAAGAAACTAAGATTGATTTAAAACTGCGATAATAGATAACAACCTATAATATTCGATAAGAACCTAGAAGTTATCGATTGTAAAGAACTAGCTAAATCTAGCTATCGATATATATAGCATATCTATCATTATTGAACTATGCAATTTTCCAGCAACTAGCTATCCCACACTTCTCTCTCAACACACACACACGCACACACACACATGCATACACTACACACACTCACAGGCACACTCACACGCACACATCAAATCTCATTGGCTAGAAAAACAACAATTCACATTCACACTCACTGTCTCTGACGTCTCGCCTCTCTCTCTCTCTCTCTCTCTCTTTTTCTCTTGTTTGTGTTGCCCCGACTCTTGATTGTAATCGTTTTTGTAGATGGCGGCGAGGATGGCAAAATGGTGGGCGGTCCGCCGGGCAGCACACCGCCGCCATATGCTGGTGGCAAGCTGCCGCCGGGCGTGATGCTCAGCGAGCTGCCAGAGCCGCCGATACCGGTATCGGAAATTGGACCCATCCCACCGCCGCCGATGTTCTCCACGCCGAGCCCGACGCTCATCGCTGGACGACCGCACGGGCCAGGCGCCATGAACGATCAGGACTACCAGCAGGACTATGACTATGATGGTAAACATGATCAATACGAACACCAAAGCTCTCTCTACAGCTTTCAGCTCATTAACAACCGCGCACTTCATAACTATGCTAGTGCCCCATGCCCTGCTCCTCCTGCTCTCTATGACAGCAAATGTGCAATAGGTTCCCTCCCCCCCTGCTTGCCATTCACTAATCTGTCTTGATCTCCTCCTTGCCTCCGCAGATCACGATCCCGATCAGGATGAGCTCGACTCGGATGATGAGTATGCGCCGTACGGCGGCGTTGCTGGCAATCATGTGCGAGTCATGGATACGCAGCGTGTCGAGGAAATTCCAGCCAAAGAGCCAAAACCAAATGCAGTTCCTCTCAAGTCGGCGCTGAAGAAGAAGGTGGGCATGGTGGGCGGCGGCAGCAATGCCAACTCGGCCTCGACGCCCGTCACGCCCACACAGGAGCATCACAGTGCTGCCACTGCGGCGGCCATATCCAATAGCAACGGCGGCATCGGCTCCATGGCAGCCGCAGCTGCCGCTGCCGCCCAGCAGCAGTCGGCCAATCAGCGGCCCTTGGTGGTGCGCCAGGATGCGGCGGGCAACAACTATTCGCTCAAGTAAGTCCAGTGATGGCATTTTAATTGCCATCGAATTTCACTCTACGATAGTTGCGTTAGCTCTTGCGTTACACTTTGTTTGTAGTTTGAATTTTGTTTACTTATAAACTCTTCTCTCTCTCTCTCTCTTTCTCTCTACTCCTCTCACTCTCTCTTTCTATTTATATATACTCAAATATATATAAATTCATCATGCGCGGCGTTCTTCCCCTACTTGCGTTTCGTTCTGCTGCTGCAATTAAATTAATAAAAAATCTAAAACCCCGCCCCCTTCAAATATAATCCATTTATATATCCAATTATATATTGATTGCTCTGCAATTTCTTTTTGTTACCATTTGATTTTGTCTGTACATTTTTGTGTGTGCGTGTTCAAACACGTTCGACTGCTTCATATTCCGACTACAACAAATATCAATCAATCAATCAATCTCTACTCTCTCTATATACAAAACTATATCGAAACATACAAAAATATATCTATCTAAAACCCGAAACGAAATCAGGCCTATACTACGACCACGGATTAGAATATGGTAAACATTTTTTTCGCTAATTTATTTGTCATGTGAAATGTATGCCAAAAACAAAAAATGCTTTTAGACTACATCTATCTATCTCATTCACTCACTCACTCTCACTCTCTCTCTCTCTCTCTGTCTGTCTCTCGCTCTGTTGTGACTAAATTTTCGTTTGCGCCAAACTTAAAATTGCAAACTTTTATGCTTTTCCTTTATTTCCACTCATTTCCACAAGTAATTTTAAACGGAAATTCTTTTCGTCCTGCATAGTCCTTGAATTGCTTTGGTCCTCTGCAAGTCAACGACCTTTTCCCGCCCCCACCCACCCACTGCTGCACCTTCACAATCATATTTCGGTTATGTGTTTTGATTAAAATTTTCAACACAAGCGAAATTTGACAACACCTAAACGAGCAGATGAACACGAAGAAGAAGAAGAAGCATTTACACTCTCACTCAACAACAAACGTGGACACACTTTTTTTCGTTCTTTTAGCTTTTTTTTCCTGTTCGCTCTGTTTTCTTGTTTCTTTTGGTATTAAATTACGAACTTTTGGTTGTTTGACATTAAGTTTAATTTTCTCATGTGCTGCCTTTTCGCCTTCCATGTCGTATACACTTACAGTACCTCTCTATCTATGTATGTGTGTGTGTGTGCGTATGTGTGTGTTTGTGTGTGTCCTTTCTCTTCTTTTTTTGTCGTATGATAAAACTTTTCGTTTGCTTTAACGCCGCGTTGCATGCTACGATTGCGAAACAAGTTTTCATTTTTCTTTTTTTCTTTTTCAACACTGGGACTTCCTTATGAAGCAGATGACATATTACAAAAGCATGTCTTAATTTCATTTCTTTGTCGCATGTCAAATTAAATCAAGAAAAGGCCAGCGATGCCCACTAAAGGCTGGCAATAAATTGTTATATAATGTATGACAGGGGGAAAAAAAAAGAGAAAAGAGAAGGCTGAAAAGAGAGCAAAACTTTGACAGATGACAAGTGCTACGAGTTGAATGCTGTAGCCAGCGATGCGGCATAATCGAAACTCGATTGCTGGCAACCGCACATGCGAGTCCTCTTTAGCCACGCCCCAATGGCTTAAAAAAAAAAAAAAGAAAAAAAGAGGAGCCAAAGATGCGGAATATGCAAAACAGTTGCAGCAAAGCGTGAAACTGAAGCAACTGAACGTAAATGCAAGACATTTTCCACATATTTATCATAAGATGTGCGAGAGCAGAGCAGAGAGGGCGGGGAGGCGAAGAACCTTTCAGTTTATCACAAACAATGCGCATATGAATCGTATCTTCATTGTTAATAGTCCAGATGCATTTACAGCTGACGTCTTGGATAATGCGAGAAATATTCTTATATGATAACTGTGAATGGGCGAAAAATAATGCTGTAATGTTTCAAGTAGTCAAGATAGTATAATATATGAAAATTATATTAAAGAGGGTGATTGCAGCAATTAGTTATTAGGGAAAGAAACGAGCAGTTTAATAAGAAGTTTGTAGAGAAAATGTTGAAATTATATCAAGGCTTATCTAATGATAGACTTGCAAGTAAGAATGGTTTATATATAATGCTAAAAGACTTACAATACAATTAATAATTTCTTCTACATAAAAACTTTGCCTATCTCTTGAATATAATGAGCATTATATATGATATAATTACATCCATATATACACACAAATGTGTCTCTCAAGATATGAGAATCGATTGGCTATCCTTTTTGGCTATACGAATTATAACCTTAGATAGAGAGGTTCTATACAGAAGAGAGAAACTTGATCAAAGTTTAACACCAACTTACGGAAGAACTTATTTGTTTACTTAAATATTAACTTAACATTAGTTCTACTGAATATTTCCATATATATTACCAATACTGACGAACGGTTACCTTTAGCAGTTGTTTTCTATATTCAAAGCGAGAAAATTGAGAGAATTTAATAGCTAATCAAAAAGCAATTTATTTATTTAGTAAAGTTTTGATAGGCTGGACCTCTACTTTAAGTTTTATGATCTATTTAGTATTTTAATATTTATTGCTCCGATTGAAATACGAGCACTAGAAGCCCATGTTTCATATTAGGAGGGAGAAACTTGATAACATTTAAAAGCAACTTTAATAGGAACTTTCTGATTCAAATATTTTAATGAGACTAATCCCTGTCTTAAATGCTTTCATTACTCATTGAGTTCTTAACTGACAAACGAATTAGTCACTTCTTTTCACAAGCGAGAAACCTACTGTTATATATATTTTAGATGGCTATAAAGGAACTTATCTAGTTTCATTTTCATTCCCTCTTATTGGTGCACTGTGTTCAGACTTCACTTAAGCTACCCTAAATGAAATGCCACAAATAGTCGCCTCACACTGCTGCCAGTGCTTCGCTGGCCAAAAAGCCAAAGCACTCTCTGCACACACCTGCACAATGGACAAGCTAAAGCCTGCTTAAAGGCACGGCACGCCCTTTCACTGGCAGGACTCGCTTCAGATTGAAGATGACTTGCGAAAGGGTATTGAGAGAGTAGCAATTGCGTTGCATAATTCGCTTCAACTCGCTTTGCATGGTAATGTGGCTGGCATAGATACAACATATGAATACACACACACACACACACACACACACATATATATACGGTATATTTATATGGCGAAAGTGTTGCGGATGCGCCTGACAGGATATAGCATTCTGGGCGGGCTCTTTGGCCGTGCGACAGCTTTAAGTACAAAGCCAAGCACATCCACACGTACACACCCACACACACACACACTGGCACACTTGCATGCCTGTGGTAAATGTATGCGAATGAGTTGCCAGATGTGCGCACACGTGCCGTTAAAAAGAAAGCCAGAGAAACAAAAGCAACAACAAATTGCCGCCGAGAGCAGCAGGCGAAAGCGTTTTGATAGCAGGCAAAAAAAAAAAAAACAAAAAAACTTTAAGGACATGTGCCAGAGAGTTATGCAGGAAGATGAATAAATTAAGCGCGCTTTTGCTGCTGCCTCTGTGTGTGTGTGTGTGTGTGTGTGGGTGTGTATAAATCTGTCAGATTGCTCAAGCGAGATTGCAGAGATGAAAGTGCGTATTTGTTTGTAGTTTGACTTTGGCTGCATGCAGCTAGCTGCCTTAGCTTTGTGTGTGTGTGTGTGTGGCTTATGATTATATAGAGATAATGTTAATTGCGTAATGACACTGGCTAATGCACAATTTGTTTGCACTGAATTCCCAACAGCAGGCAGCAAATGTTCAATATCCAACTGCCCTGCACTGTGGAGAACAAGGAGAACACTCGGCCGTTTGTGATAAGGGAGAGCAGCAGCGATAGCGATGAGAGCGATGGCCAGATTGTCTATCGGGACGATGACAATGATAACACACGGCTGGCGAAGCTGGCGCGCAAGGAGTCGCTGTCGCTGAAGCTGCAGCTGCGGCCCGACAAACAGGATCTGATCAATCGCAACATTCTGCATCAGGTCAACGACAATGAGATCAAGGAGTCCAAGGAGGCGATCGGTGCGCGCCTCATCCGACGACTGTCGATGCGACCCACCGCCGAGGAGCTGGTCGAGCGCAACATTCTAAAAAGTGAGTACAGCGATTGGAAATGAATGGAAATGTGAAAATTCGTAATTGAATTCAACTTTTTGTGCAGCTCAATCACCCGCCGAGGAGAAGAAGCAAAAGGAGGAGAAGAAATCGTATTTGCTGCGCAAGCTCAGCTTTCGGCCCACCGTCGAGGAGCTCAAGGAGAAGAAGATCATACGCTTCAACGACTACATTGAGGTGACGCAGGCCCACGACTACGATCGACGGGCGGACAAGCCATGGACAAGACTGACGCCAAAGGACAAGGCCGCCATACGCAAGGAGCTGAACGAGTTCAAGTCCTCCGAAATGGCAGTCCACGAGGGCAGTCGCCATCTGACGAGGTAATTAAACCCAATCGCCACCACCGCAACCACAACGATTGCCACCAAAACCACAATTCAATCCCCGTCCTTGGCCTCAACAATTGAGCCAAGCGCACCAAATTGCCAAATGCCCAATGAAGTGTCACGTGCACTGCACACAGCTGCCGCTGACCAATCCCAATTCAAGCAGAGGCAGGGGCAGTGGCAGGGGCAGCTTCACATATGTATGCCACATGCCTCAGCTTTGCTGCCGCCTCCACTTGTGCCCCATTGTTCGTGCTGTTGCCACAAAGGACTTTTGCGTTTGGTAACTGCATTTTGTCGTTGCTCGTTCATAGTTTTTTCTTCCCTTTTTCCCGCTAGCTGCTGGCGCTCAACTTTTATAATGGCCTCTGGATTTTGTGGCCAGCTCTTCGAGTCTAGGCTTAAAGCCCCAGGCGACGCTTCGCTTTAACTCACTAAGCGCTTGCGAGTCCCTCGACTGTGCAGGGATGCAAGCAGCAGCAAATTAGAAAAGCAGCCAAAATGCAAGCAGCCGCAAATGGTCACAAATTTATGTGGCCACAACTCGAATGCCATTTCAGCTTTTTTCACGTCAGATCTGGCTTTTTTTCTTTAATTAAAAATTGTTGAGAGTTTATAGTTAGTATAAAATATAAAATTTTATATATTGTACTTCTACATTATTCAACATCTACAAAAAAAAATTGTAAAAGCGTTGCCAGATGGCAGCTTTTATTCATTATCACAAAATTGCGTTGCCACCTAGTTGAAAAATTAGTTATCTCTATTAAAGTTAGCTCTGCTTTACCTGAATAAAAAAACCATGATATATAAACCAATTCCCAGGTCCTGCTCGCCTAATCATATTCCACCCACACACACACACACACACATACAACTGTGCAGTATTGCAAAGTTTTGCACAGCAACTGAAACTAATCTCAACTTTTCTTTTGGTTTTTTTACCTTTGCAGATTCCATAGGCCATGACGATTGCAATGGCAGCAACTTTCCAACAAATTACAACAACAACCCAAACAATTGTATTTTGTGCAGCAACCAATTGTCAACAAATATTTAAAAGCAAAACATTAAAAAAAAAAGGAAGAAAGAAAAGAAGAAAATCACAAAAAAAAAAAAACTAAAAAAAAAGAAAAAATAAAAAAGCGTTGAAACACAATAAGAAGAAGAAAAAAGTAATGCAAAAAAAAAAAAAAGAAGATTATAATAAATATATAAAAACAATTTTCAAATGGCATGAAATAGTTAAAAGAAGAAGAAGAAGAGAAGGAAGCAAATCAAATTGAGCAGTTTTAATTATTAGGATCTTCTGTTAAATGCGAATTCCGCTTTGGTTTTCTAATTTTAAGTTCTATTCTGTACGTAGTATTTCCTGTGTTGAACTCTTCGATTATATCATAATACTTTGTTAATTGTGTGTAAATAAATTCTTTTCGATACGGCCCCTTCCCCTACCCTTCCCTTTTCGGAAATATGCAAATCAAAATATGTGAAATTCGTCTTTTGTGTAGATGGTTTTTTTTTTATTAAGTCGATTTGTTAATACTTCAGTCAAGGCAATTATGTATTATATTATATAACAGAGAGCAAATATGTTTACACTAAATTATATTCAACCAACAACAATAACAACAACAGCAAACAAGTCAAGCAAAACTAACAACAATTTCAATGAGAGAGAAAGAGAAATTCTTAAATTTTAAGCAACAATTTTACTTTTACTGCTGATTTCCATAAATTTTTAGATTTTCGAATTAAGCAAAATATAAATAAAATACGAAAAAACAAAACCGCAAATATTATTATAAATTATGCAAGAAATGCGAACAGTTCTAAAGAATATAATATATATTTTTAAATTTATTATTATTGTAAAAAGCTTAAAAACATAGAGAAAACAAAAACTAACCATAACAAAAAAATTATTTAAAAATAAATTCAAATATTTTGAAAGACATTCGAGCAAATGATTCTTATTAATTTATTTCAGTTCATATTTAGTTAGTATGTCCACATCCTCTCCTCCCCCGTCCCCCTTTTTGATTTGTATATAACATGTACATACATATCGCCAAATTGCGTTAAGAACATAAAGAACTTATCGATAACCGATAGGTAATGCCATGAACTAACATGCACACACTCGAAACTCTAGAACACAGTGAAAAAGGCAAAGCAAAGTAAAAAAGAGAAGAAAAAAAAAAGCTCAAATGTTAAGTAAAGTAAAGCAGATTGATAACATTTCTATTTAAATATGGCAACAAAATATCAGGAATAACAAACTGAAGCAAGTTGGACCCAGATTGATGATTTTTCTAGTGAACAAAACACAACGGTAACAATTTATAAAACGTAAGATTTTAGAGGCAGAAGGAACCAAAAGAAATATAAAAAAAATAAAAAAAACAAAAAGAAAAAAAAATAAATAAAAAGAAAGCATCAACAACAAATGTTGCATGCAAATATCTATTTTGTAAAGCAAATTGCGAATAGTTACGAAACATTTAAATTGAGATACTGAAACTTTTACTCCAGCATTCAAATAGTTACGAATAATCCAAAATGAAAATGAACAAAAATTCCTAATTGTAAAAAATTTGCAGAAAATGAAGAGAGGAAACAACAAATGCGAAAAACTAAATGCAAATTGAAATGCTCGCGCGTGCTCGTGAATATCTTAAATTTAATGGTAAACCAAAATAATGATACAAAATAAAAAGCAGTTTCAAAGGACATTTAGCATGAAATGTATTTCATGATTAAGCTCTAAATAAAATAATAAGAAGAAATGGGAAAAACAGAAGAAGAAAAAACAAATACAAAGCAAATGCGAACTTAGTTTAAAGATAAATTGGCGCTTCCTTTGCAAGTTTCATATTTCTAAAGCAAAACACACACACACAGATACAAACAATTTTAAAATAGACTAAAGTAAACGATGAGTAAAATAAAACTTGTTTCAGGTCAGTCAACAACAGTTTTTGGCTCAGTTAGCAAAGCTTTTGCTTGATTTTGAGTGACTTGGCCCAGAATCGATATCGACATAGTATATTGGCAACTCTGTCTATCCCAACTCTCTGTCTTTAGCTTCAAAGCGTTGCATTGTCAGAGTTAAGCAATATTAATTGCAACTATATATATATATATACACATGATATATACATTAAATATCTATACAAACTATATATAGTATATATATGTATACAACTATTTATATGAGATGAGGAAGCATGCTATATACATACAACTATCAATATGGTATAGCATAATTTACACTTTTTCTATCGAGTCGATTTATAGTGTACTATAAACAACAACAACAACAACAACAACATGAGGAGCCCCTGCGTTGATTGAGAGCCTACCTATCCAAAACTATCGAAAAGTTTCGTTTTGTGTACAGCATTTCACACTGTCCTTTCGCATTCTGTTCACAAAACTCTAACAAAAAGAATAAAAATTTACAAAAATTTTGCAGTTGCAAAAAAATGAACAACAAATAAATGAAAATGAAAATGAAATGTAGCAATAATACGAACACCACAAGAAAAAACAAAGCAAGCAGCAGCGAGAGCCAGCAGCTATTAGCACTTGGTAAGATCTTAAGAAAAGAAAAAGAAAACAAAGAAATTGAAAATTTGTAAACGCCTCTTAAAGGGCAGCAGCCGTTGTGAAGATTTGCAGAACGACACGTTAAGTAACTTAGCAAATTAAGCTTAGCAGAAAGAAAACACAGAATGAAACTGTAAGAACAACAACAGCAAAAAAAAAAAAAAAAAAAGACAAAAAAGATATTGAATAATAATCACCGAAAAATTGAGATTTAATAAAGATTTAATTACTTAAAAAAAAGAAGCGAACTAATTTGTTTAATTCGGTTAATAATAGAAGGAAAAGGGAAGACTTTTAGTGTAGCATATTTATAAATAGATCTCAGATATGCTAAAATGCCTCTCAAAAATTAGCATATATAAATAAATAACAAAAGGGCATATGAACGTTGATCCTAACTATCTCAACCATTTATACATGATAAATATATAGATGAACAAGATTTAAAGACTAATGCCTGATTCCGGGAGTATACAAAGCTAGGTTTATCAGACTATGGAGTTATATAGAGCTGAAGAACTCCACAGTTAAATGTCTTCATGGTGCCATGAGTCTAAGGTAAGTGTATTTATTTGTATTTAATCTATATAGACAGGGAAACATGGGCTTATTTCAGTTTCAGTAAAATTTTAAGGGATAGCAAAAATAAATAGTTATAGCTATAGATATTTCTTTGCTTCTTTGGAGATACGTAAACGTTTTGGTATCTTTTGCTCTTTGCCCTTCAATATTATATACCAATGAAAATAGGGTATTATGACAATTTAAAGAGGTTACATTAATTATTAGGTCAAACTGCATTTGATTGAGTAATAGTCAGATTTTAAGGAATTTGCTATACGTATGAAGTATTCCAGTAATATACATCAATATAAACTATTCCTGTCACAAGCTAATTTCTACTCCATTAATAGACCAGTATGAAGAGAGTTTCCAAATTGTATTTAGCAGCCATTAGCCCCTCCCATTATCAAAGAAAACACAAAATATTATTAGCAAGACAATCGGGGTACTTATAGATTTAATACAACTTGCATTGCATGTGCGTGTCTATGTATGATTGTGAGTGTGTAAGTGTGTGTATGTATGTATGTGTGTGTGTGTGTGTAAAAGAGAAACTTAGTTATCCATCTCGCTATCGCACATAATATTGAAACGTGCGCGAATCGCCTCGACGCTGTCACAGCTATTGATCACATCGGCCACGTGCTGGGTGCCCGCCTCGAGGAGGCCCTCGATGTTGAGATAGTCGGCCGCCATGATTAGCTCAAAGATGGTCGCGTCACTGGCATTCGATTCGCGGATTATGTTGTCGAATACGTCACGGTCCTGCTGCAACCTGGTCTTCTCATCAGCGGACCTCTGGATGCCCTGGATGGCGTGACACCAGCTGAGCACCAGCTTAAATATCTCCGAGCTAACACGGTCCAGCGGCATGATATTGGCATCATCATCATCGCTGCTTCTGAGCTCACCGTGCTCCGTCTGCAGCCAGTTGTGTGTCAATCCCATTTGCTGGGCCAACTTGAGGCTCACGTTGAACAAGACGCCATCGCTCGTCCTCATTTCCAGCACTTCTGGTTGGTGCGACATATTGCCAAACTATAATAATAACTATAATAGAATGTGCTCCTTAGCTCGTTGCCGACGAAAAAGAATATGAATTTCGTATTTTGCGCAGGGTTGACAGGAGAAGGCCCGGCCTGCTTGGCAGTGCTGCCAGCATTTTCAAGGCATGCAAGCTCTAGACTTAAATAGTCTAGACTGCTGCTGCCTAGCAGCATACCTGGCTACAACTCTGTCTAATTTAGTTGTCAGCCCAAAAGTAGGCAATGCCAATTGCGAGTTGACTCTGTTGCCTAACAGTCGGATGACGTGTTGAGCTGCTCGTTGGCATTCCATTGAATTCATTCATGAATTCCGTCGCGTTCTGCTGCCACTGGCACTTCACGTGCCAACGGAGCGGAGCAGAGCAAGTGCGTCTTTGTATCTTGGCAAATGTATCTGCGTACGTGCCCGACTCGACTCTCTGGACAGCAATTCAGACTCAACACACAGTCGCTCAGCCTCAGGTGAGGCAACAACAGCAACAACAACAACAACAACAGCAACAACAGCAACGACACCAATCACAATCATCATAAGGCCGTCGCCATCGCAGTTGATTATGATGAGCTCGACTCGTAGTTGTTGTTGTTGGCTTTTGGCTTGAAGTGTTTGCTGCTTGGCTCCATCTGGCCCATCTACCCATCTGCCATCTCCCATCTTTCTTGGGTTTCATCTCTCTCTCTGTGTGTGTGTGTTTGTGTGCCTGCCTCCGTCTGCTTTCCTTTGCGAAAGTTTATCATTGCGGCAAGATTCTAACATTTTTGTGTGCATTCCACTTTGGTGCGTTTGTCGGATTTCTCAAGAGTTTGCCTTTTGCCACGCTCATAAAACGTACTCGAACTCATTAAAACGCGCACTCTGATAACCGAAATGGCCAACTTGGACGCTCGAATGATGCGGACGGAACGAGTTGGCGACGTGTTTTGCATGTGCGTTCTTAAACCTGGCTGATTTATTTGATGGCCATTTGTTGCTGTTGTGCTCTGACTCTGACTCTGACTGAGACTCTGACTCTGACTACGGCAACTGGTGAGGCACGTTGCATGGGCCGGTTGAGCGCTTGAGCGAAATGGGGCAAGTAGGCAACAATTTTGAGACCTGCACAGTATGGCCAGTTAATTAGCAAGTTCATGTGGGAAAAGTTGTCCCAGCGCTTACAGTTAGCCAAGTTAGAGGCCACAAATTCGGTTGGGAACTTAGCCTGGCTAAGGCTTGGAGAGAACAGTTAAGGAAGCTGACAAAAAGCTGCAGAGCATCAGAGAGCATGTTTTGTATATGGAAATATTATATTATTTATGTGATAAGCAGAGTACAAATAATTAAATATAATTAAAGTTAGCTTAACTGATTTATTTGCTGGGTATAAACAATTAGTAGATGTACAGAGATATTATTTTTTATTTTATGCTATTAAACTGAATGAAGTTGTCTATATTTTTTTAAATTTATTTATTTATTTTTTATTATATTATATTTACTATTAAGTTTATAAAATTAAATTAAATTAATAAAAATAAATTAATAATGAAATTTAATTTAAATGAAGTTGCCTATACTTTATTTAATTTTTTTAATTTTATTTATTTTTTTATTATATTTATTATTAAGTTTATAGAATTAAATTAAATTAATTTAATATTTATGAAGTTGCTTAAACAGATTCATTTTATGAATATAAACACTTCCTAGATTTTAGAGACAGACCTAAAAATGTTAACAAAAATCAATTCATACATATTTCATATTTTTATTTTGATTTATTTATTAAAGCCATACGAGGTAATCTAGTAAACCTTTTGTGAGCTTTTTAGCTATTAAACATTTGTTTTATGTTTTTATTTTTAATTATTTATTCATATTTTTACATACATATGTACATTTTAGCAGCTTTATAGATTCACGTCTGTCTTTCATGGACTGCCTTTCGAAGAGTCATAAGTTAACCATAGCGAGCTAGAGAGGCACTCAAAGGCAGCAGCAGAGTGAATTTATTCCCATAATATCTCGGTGAGAAAATAAAAAATTCTAAAAAAGTCTAAATAATTTCTTAGAGTAAAGGAGTTTTATTTTAACTGAAGAAAATTCATATAAGCTGCCTTGTTAAAGAAAGTCAAAAGTAACAAACATTTATTCAAGCAATCCTTTTGCTAAGGTTTCAGCGGTGAATTGACAGATTTTTAATTTATTTATATGACATGCCTTAGTAAACATTATTAATAAAATCAATTTACATATATGACAATATTGAGTGAATCCTGAACTTGAAGAGTCATTGATTATATTTCAAGTTACAATTATGAATAGTTAACAAGATTTCCAATCAAGGAAAATCTGATATGAAGAACCATAAAAATTGGTATACATCATTCACTAAATTGCATATATTTAATGTATGGGAAAAGAATCCATAAGCTCTCTAGATATGCCTGGTGTATTTTATATAAATATCCTGAGAAATCAGGACATGCTTGCTAGCTAGCCTTGCAGCTGTGAGTAATAGCTTGAATAATAGCTTGAGCATAGCTGAAGCTCTGCTGCAGTACAGTGCCGTCCGTGGCATTAGGTCAGGTCTAGGTCTGTTGCTGTTGCTGGCTGTTGTTGTTGTTGCTGTTGCTGTAAGGCTGGCAACATTTTGAGAAAAGCAAGAGAAAAATTTGCATTTGGCCCGATCGCAGTTCGCGACTTGTCGTTTCGCTGGCGGGATTTCTTTATGACCCGAGCTGGCAGTGGCGCGGAGTTTGATTTCAGCTATGGCCTTTGTTTGCCAGCAAGTTTATTTGATTCTATTTTCATTTTATTTGAATTGTGGTGCGCTTTTATGGCCTGTGCATGAGCCTGGCTGAGATTTGCTTTTTTTTTTTGTTTTTTGTGAAAGTTACAGCAAAAGACGCTATCGATGAGCCCCCAAGAAGTTGGCAGAGTCTCAGCCATGGCTCTGACTCTGGCTCTGACTCTGGCTGTGGCCATTGCTGTTGGCTCTTTACCTTATTTTGTGTATTATTGTGTTTTTTTTTTTACTCGGTTGGTGATTGTAAAACAATAAAAGCAACACCTGACTGCCGTTTGCACAGCCTCACAATGGCGTTGATGGCGACGCGGATGCGGACGTCATTGTTGGTGGGCCTTGCCCTGATCCCTCTCCACCGGCTGCTGCTGCTGCTGCTGCTGCTGCAGTTGCTGATCTTATCAGCGATTATTTTCTGTGTGTGTTTTTCCTCGATGGCCCAAAATGGTCAATGACAAAAACATGCTTATTGTTTTGTAGAATTGCTGACGCGCTCTAAACATTTCAATTCGCGTTTTCGGGTTCTGCCTGTGCGTTGTTACCCATAACCAACAGCAGCAGCAGCAGCAGCAACAACAACAACAGCAACGGCAAACAAATTGCTGGCTGATTGCTGTTGATGGGAGAGGTCGGACAGCGGACAGCGGACAGCGGACGATGGACGGCGCATTGCGAGCACTCGATTCGAAATCTAAATCTAAATAAATAAAAATCGTGCGCTGTTGGCTTTTTTTGGCTTTTTCTTCTATTTTTTGCTGGCTCCTAAGTGAAAGGCAGCGGCGAGATCAGCGTCTTGGCCAAAGTATCTCAATGCGCTGCAAATTTAATCAATTGATGAGGCAGCTTGCAACTGCTGCAACCTGCTGCTTGCCGTCTCCTGCTGCACTTGCTGTCGTTGCTTTTATTGTTGTTGTTATGGTGTGTTGCCTGTGATGGCAATTTGGATTTTGTGGCCAACACAAACCTGACCAGAAAGACATTTACATTCTACGGTTAAGTGTTGTTGCTGCTGCTGTGCAAGTGTCGCAACAACTACAGCAACAACAACAACAACAGCAACTTTACACGCTAGAAACCGTGACTTTAATTTTCTTTAGTTTTCCCCCTCCCGCGCGCGCTCAACTCTTTCTTTGATTTGTTTTTCCTTTATATTTTGATATTTCTCTCTTTTTATATAATTTCAATTTGATTTTTTCGATTCCATGGACTTTTCATTAAATCACCTCACAATGTCGCCAATTTCAGTTCCCCTCCCGCTCCCCTCACCCCTTGCTTATTGTCTTGCTTTTAATTTGTAATTACTGGCACATTTTACTTTCGTTTGTGGCATTTGATTTATGGCCCCGCGAATTGTGGTCGCCAAATCGAAAACCTGGCCAAAACGTGGCAACTGCCAATTGGAATCGTGAGCCGAGCACAAACGTTGCAAGAATTAAGAAAGTTGGCCAATTTGTGTTCAAATGGCCAATTGCCTGGTTATTAGTCGTATACGTAATACATGTTTTAAGAGATAGTTTAGTGTGAATATATATTTAATATAACTGCGTTTACGTAAAGGCAATTTCTGGATGTTGCAAACACAAGAGACTTTTCTTCAAGATTCTCGTCAATTTAAGTTAACTATCTCTATCTCTCTCTCTCTCGCTCTCATTATCCTTTATATATACCGCTCTCTCTCTCTCTCTCTCTCTCTCTCTCTCTCTCTCTCTCTCTCTCTCATTCTATCTGCTGCAGCCTCTTTTGCTCGCTCTACTTTCTCTTACTTTATCTCTCTTTGCTTCCTCTGCTAACTCTCCTGGCATTATCCTAAATCCTCTACAGCTCATCCACATCTTAGCTGTTAACATCCTCAGTAAATCAACAACAGTTTTCTCTTTCTAACATTTCACATCCGGCTTAAACTACGCCTGTTGGCCGCAGCTCTTCCTGTAAATAAGCTCATTAGCCGTATTGCAATGTTGCCATTGTCATCGTCGCTGCACTTGACACTTGGCGCTGACATGTTGTTGTCGTAGCACGCAACAACAGCAGCAATAGCAAGAGCAACAGCAATAGCAACAGCAACAGCAGCAACAGGCACAACGCCCACTCACAATCGCAGCCGTTGCCGTTGCAGTCGTAAATGTGCAACAATTTCAAAGAGCTTCCACTTATTGCAGCTGCAGCAGCAACAAGTTGCAGCAATCGAGGCAGCAGCAGCCTGCTGCAGACCCATTGATTAGGTGACCCTTGTAGCGGTCCGAAGCTGTC